CCGTCTGTGCACACTGATACATGCTCAGAGTGCTCACAGATACAGATGTGATGTGCATGCAGAGAAACTTGCAGCGTGCACACGGATACCTCATGTGCACACAGATGTGAGGTGTTCACACAGATACACACGTGGTGTGCACACGGACAGAGGAAACAGCACACAACAAAATCTGTGTAAAAATAAAACAACCTGACAGAATTTACACACTCGATTTACTTTAGAAAGGTTGTCCTAGAAAAGCGTGTTAATGGTAAGCTTGCTGAAGCAGCCAGGAGTACTTTCAGAGTCCTAATATTACAAACATCAACTTAGCCAAAATAATCCTGGGGAACAAGGGACAGGGAAGAGAGAGGGAGAAATCTAACTCTTTATCTACCATAATTCGAAGTAAAAATAAAAGATCCGAAGTCAGGTTGGGAGAGCTCAATAGCAGCATGTTAGGTTGAGACGCGGAAGTCGATGTCACAGAGACGGACTTGGGAGGGCTGACCCGGGCACTGGAGTGGGAAATGAGGGAGGCGGGGAGGGGCATGTAAAAGCTATGTATATGCTTGATTGCTATGGGCTTTAATAGGATAGGAGTTACTTTAAATAAGGAAAAATAAAGGAGTGGAAGCTCATGGCTGGATGCCCTCTTGTGTCCAGGCCCTGCAGGGGGCTGGTCTGGGGGCCCTGGCCACGTGGGTGTGTGCTGAGGCATAGGGCACTGGTGGGTGGCAGAAGAGACTGGACTGTGGCAGGGCCAGGTGGGCTTCCCCTTGAGCCCCGTGTCAGGTGTTGAGGTGGTGACAGGAAACACAGCTGCAGAGTAGTGGTCACTGCCCAGAGGGGAGGGGCTACTGTCCCACATCTGTCAGTGGCGATAGCAGAGGCCCCAGTGTTCAGTTTCTATCTTGTTTTGAGGTGTGGACAGGACTCCAGGCTGGCCACATCTACCTTTATGAGCCACTGTTTCCATGGAAGACCCAGAGGGGGACCAGAGGCCCATGAGTGGCTTTTAGAAGCATCCCTGGACAGTGAAGTATCCACCAATGAGCCCTGGGGGCCAGGCGGGCAGACCCTGCCCACGGCAATCCTGCCCCCTTCATGGGCTCTCACTGTAGGAGGGAAGGAGGGACTGGGCCCACACAGTGATGACCTAGGGCTTTAAAATTAGCAGCTGCTGCCTCAGAGGGACAGTGACAGGGAGAGGTGACTCCAGACTGGGGCAGAGGCAGCAGTGCTGGAGGTGGGGTCGAGTGAGGGAACTTGGAGGCTGGGCAAGCACAGAACAAACACTCTGAGTAGGGAAAACCACTTAATTTCTCCTGCCTCAGAAGAAAGCATGGTACATAATGGGAAGTAAGATTCAAGTAAGTTACAGCCACTTTATAGCATCATCAATGCCAAGTTCATGAGTTTGAACTTGGTTGGTTAATAGGTGATGAGGAGCAAGTGTTATTTTGTGCCATTTCTTCCTGCACTGGAAGCCTGCTCTAAAAGTCTCTGTGTGTCCACCTGTATGTACCCAAATCTTGATGAGCAGAGCACGTCAGGGGTGGATGTTTGGGTATCACTGTCAGACGTGGTAACAGTGCACTGTGGTTTATGCTCAGTGAGGCTCCCCGAGCATCAAGGTCAGTGATTTTTCAACCAGTGTGCTATGAAAATTTTTAAAGATCATTAATTACATTATTTTCAAAAGAAGTTCAAAGCACCATGTGTATGTTCTTTTTTTTACTCTTATTTTGAACAGCATCATTTAACTGCCATGCAAGTTTAACTAGGTTCAAGTGTGCCATGACATAGGGAAAGGTTGAAAAGCACTGATTGAGGCCAGCACTCTCCCTGTGAGGGTGAAGGAACCGCGGCCTGTGAAGTGACGATAGCTCATTCGAGTTTTCTTACACCTGGTAAACAGCAGAGGCAGACCCACAGCCTGTGCCTGGCGTCCCCTCCTCTTGTGACAAAGCCAGGCTCTGCCCTGTGCTGGCATCTCGAAGTCAGTGCTGTGGTTCTTTAGAATGTTCATCGGTGTGTGCAAAAAGTGCTCCCTGCCCAGAGGAGTTTGAGGACTGCGGGCCAGACACATCTCAGCAGAGATCTTCATCGCAGCCCCCTTCACGTGTCTGTGTGTCGACTCCAGAATGGGAAGCTGCGAGGCTCCGCACACTGACTTGGCCACAGAACCCTCCCCACCCACCCTCTAACCACCCCCAACATCTTTCACGACTGTTCTGCACCACATAGATTTGAAAGTAGCCCTCACTCATGTTTTAGCTTCTTTCCTTTCATGGTTTTTCCCTAAATGAACTTCATGTTGTCACGAGGGCATACACCCGGTAGGATGTCCCTCTTGCTTGAACAAACATTCCCTGAACCTCGGTGTACTTAAGATGCAGCTGTTCTGAATTAAGGCAGGCTGTGAGTGTGAGTATGCTGGATTGCTAAGTCTCCAGTGTGAGACAATTCCTTAATAATTTCTTCTATTAATTACATGTTGAAATGATAATAGTTTGGATATATTTGGTTAATAAAATGTTACTAGAATTTTGTCTTTCCATCTTGGCCAGATTTTTGAAGGCTATAAACAAGATTATTCTTTTTTTTTTTTTGAGACAGAGCCTCAAGCTGTCCCCCTGGGTAGAGTGCGTGGCATCACGACTCACAGCAACCTCCAATTCCTGGGTTCAAGTGAGTCTCCTGCCTCAGCCTCCCAGGTAGCTGGGACCACAGGCACCCACAACACCTGGCTTTTGGCTGCAGCTGTCATGGTTTTTTGGCGGGCCCGGGCTGGATTCGAACCCGCCACCTTAGGTGTATGTGGCTGGCGCCTTAGCCACTTGAGCCACAGACGCTGAGCCAACAAGATTATTCTAACATTTATGAGGAACTAGAATAGAATAGCTAAAACAGTTTGGGAAAAGAAGAATAAAATGGGAGGAACCATTCTATCCAACTTTAAGCTTCAGTGTAAGTTTGCAGTAATGGAAACCATTGATTGGGCTCCCCTGGGTAGGACAGAGGTGAGAAGCCAGAACAGGCCCTTGTGAAGGCATCACCTGGCACAGAGGCAGCCCCATGTGCGGAAGTGTCCCTGGACAAGGATGAACCTTGACCTCACCTCCTGTCTTACACAGGAATTAACTCAAATTGGAAACAGATTTAAATGGAAAACCTAAAACCATAAAGCTTTCTTAAGAAACATAGAAATCTGAGGTTCAGTGTAATCTTAGACGTGGTACTGAAAGCCTGGTCTGTGGAAGGGGAGGCCACTTGGTTGGACCTCATCAGAAGTAAACACAAGTCCCTTGGTGGGGGATGGACAGACAAGCCACAGACAGGGAGAAAATACTTGCAGACTACATGGGACAAGCATCTAGAACATATTTTCCAACCTTTTTTAGCTCACAGGACATTTGAACCTATAGTTAAGCTTCTGCAGCACACTTAAATTACATTGATCAAAATAAAGAGTAAAAAAAGAATATATTTACCGTGCTTTGAACTTCCTTCAAAAATAATTTAATTAATGATTGTTAAAAATTTTCATGGCACATTGATTGAAAAATCACTGCTCTAGATATACATATAAGGAACCTTTTAAAACGTAACGGTGGGAAAGAAACCTCAGTCAATCCAACTAAAAATGGGCCAAAGTCAGGAAGAGACATTTTGCTGACAGGGTCTACAGGTGGCACCTGGGCACGTGAGACGTGGAAAGGGCCTACAGCATAGCCATAGGGAAGCACAGAGCCATGGGTGATCTCACCTCACATCTGCCCCAATGCCTGGCACCCCCGAGTGGGTAAGGGTGAGAGAAGCTGGGTCTCTCACACCTGGCTGGTGGGGAGGTGAGTGGTGCGGCCACTCTGGAGGCCATGTGACGATTTCTTAATAAAACAAAAAGCCTGTGCAACATGTGGCCCAGTCATTGCACTCGTGGGCCTTTATTCCAGAGGAAGGAGAATTTATGTCTACCAAAAAAAAAAAAAAAGTACATGATCTCAGTAGCTTTACTTGTAACCGTTCAAACCAGGAAAAACTCCTATGGCCTTCAATGAGCCAGTGAGCGGCCCCCCTGGAGAGCCCTCCTATCAGGGAGCATCACCCAGCAGGGACAGCAGGGAACTCCTGAGAGGGCGGGGCCCTGGCCAAGTCACTAGGACGTCAGTGCTGAGAGGCTAACCAGGGGTAGGGCCGGTCTCATGGGGCATGTGCTGTCCGCCTTTGTGTGATGCTCTTGAAGTAACAGAGTTGGAGAGATGGAAAGCAGATCAGTGGTTGCCGGGGTAGTGGGGGTGGAGGGTGTGACTAAAGGGGCAGATGTGTCTTCTTGGTGGCGATCACACGGATCTGCGCATGTAATTAAATGACATAGAACTGCACCAGTGTCAGCTGGCTGTGGCATGTGCTGGAGTAACTCCCTGTGTGGTCTTAACACTGTAGCTATTAAGAGAGAATCTTTGGGGAAAGCAAGGTACATTGGACCTCTCTGCACTATTTTTGAAACTTCCAGTGAATATGTAATTATTTTAAACCTTAACAATAAGCAGACAGACATTACATGTGTGCCTTATGTTATATTCTGCTGGCAAGTGTTAGACAGAAGGGTCAAGATGCTGGGGAGTCCTCCAGCCCAGGATAGACTCCTCAGTTGCGAGGCCCTCGTCCCTTCTCTGCCTTTCCCTTTCTTCCTGAAGTGAGGAAGAGGGGTAGGAAACACCCGCGAGGTTAACAAATAAAATACAACCCTTCATTCCACACTCATATGAACAACCTTTCTAAAAATGCCTTTTTATCTCTAGACACCTGTCTTAAAATTGTGAAGTTTGCATTTTTGGTGTTTCAAAATGAGTTGCTTTTTCTAAACCTCTTCTGCCTCTACAAATAATCTTTTTTTTTTCATTTTCCAGTATTTTATTAGGCAAACTTTCAAACATACAGTACGGTTAGAAGAATTATGCAGTGATCACCCATAAGCCCACCACATACACTTTATAATTCTTTTCTTCTTCATACATAGGGAATTTGTTTGTAGGGAGGCCACAAATTTTGTGCCCTCATCACAATGATCCTAGATTCCTGTCGGGTGTTTTATAAATAGAGGAACCATTCTTATGCCCCCCTGCTCTGAGCACACCCCTTATAAACAATCTTTAAAAATAATTTTCAAACCTGGCATGGTGGTGCACCTATAGTCCCAGTAGCTAGGGAGACTGAGAGCATCATCCAAGCCCAGGTTAACATCTGCTTGGGAAGCACCTGGAGGGGTGGAAAGTCTGATTCTGACATGTTCTGTGGGGACTCTGTTTGCTGTGGTCTGACTGCAGTGAGGCTGCTTGGGGACCATTGTAGACCTTCTTGACTGGGAGTGGCTTGGGTCTGCAGTGGGCACAGGGGTGCTCGGGCTCTGGCAACACAGCAGCAGCTCGTGAAAACCTGCCCCCCCCCGCCCCCGCCCCAGCATGTCTCCTGCCTCATGGTCCCTCATGGCCTCCTGCTTGGTGCAAGCTGCTGTCTCCATCTCTGTCTGGTCCCTTACCAGGAGTCTGGGAAGGCCAGGCAGAATGTTGGCATGAACTTGAGTTAGGCTTGCTAGGGCTGCATGAGATGTCTTAGAATTTAAAAGGGTATTCCCAGGAAAAGAAAATATTATGCTGAATTGTGGGCAGGGGATCCGCCCTGGTTATTTCTGGCATTTTAAGGGCAGATTGGAAACCCACCTCTCCTCTGCTGTGCTTGCTTCTGGCAGGTTCACCCTCACATCATGACGTTCTCAGCTCTCTGCTGTCAGACTTGTGTTCAGCACAGTGACCCCAAGTTTTCCTTTGGGCCTTGCACTGTCTTCTTTTCATTCTTCAGGCTGTTGGGCTGGGACAGGTGGGGACGTGTGGAGAAAGGCCAGTGGGGGCACATTCCCCAACAGGTGCCTGGGGCGGATGTGCAGCAAGGCTGGGCTGTGTTGTGATGGATTTGGTCACAAACGCTGTGTCTCACTCCCCTCCCAAACCATGTGAGGTGGGCACTCTCATTTCCATTTTCCAGCTCAGGAATCTGAGGTCCCAGGGCAACCAATGTCCAGGTTGCTGTGTGCATGGGAGGGGCAGTGTGTGCTCAGCTGCCCACTGTGCAGGTCGCTCTGGAAGTGATCCCAAAGGACAGGCAGGAAAGAGAAGTGACCCGATGTGATGATACTGGCTTATGTGGGGGCAGGAGAGCTGTCCTGGACATCACGTGTTGCTCAGTCCCCAGAGAAACGCTCTCCAGGGTATTTACGGGGCATTGGATGCAGGTTAAAGGAAGGAGGAGGTCGTGTTGACACAGCTGCCCTTGTTGAATTCACTGCCTAGTGAGGGAGAACACTGGCTTTGAAAAATGATGAATTTATTTTACAAATGGAAACTGGTGGCTGTGTGAAAAGATGAAAGTCTGGTTCGTGAAGACTTCCTAGACATGAGGACATTCAAACCCATTGCTTTTGTTAGAAAGCAGCAATATTTTAGGTGAGGAGATGTTCCCAGGCCCCCCGGCTCCCATCTATAAGGGGGGCCTTTCACAGGACATGTCTTTAAATATTGCTTTAGGAAAGCTGTCATTAACAGGCTGTCTTATGTCCTGACAGGTGTCAGAGATGGCAGAAGATGGGAGTGAAGAGATTATGTTCATCTGTAAGTGACCCCCGACTCCCCCCAACCCCCGGCTGCCTGGGGCCACCACTTTCACAGAACCAGGCAGGCATGGCACTTGCCATGTGGGCGGGGCTGCGTTTCTAGGATACAGAAAAGCTATTTCTTTTGGAATTGTTCTAAGCAACACAGTCCCATGAGCAGTGTGAGTCAGGGGTCTGATTTGAGCAGTATTGTCTCTCTCAGAGCTCCTGGCAAAGGGCATGTGGCAGGGGTGGCACTTGACTCAGGAGAGTAGCCAGGGTCCGATTCCCTGGTCCCAGGGGAGGAGGGCAGCATTTGTGCACCTGCACTTACTCTCTCTTTTTGTCACCATGGAGGTGACTGTCTGACGTGAGCTGTCCACGGAACTGCATCTTTCCCTTGGGGCCAGGTCTTGTTTTGCCCCCATATTTTGGGGATCACTGATGGGCCTTGTTGCCATGTGGTGTCCTTGGCCTTTGTGGAGTCCCTGCACATGTGCCTCCTGACCATGGGTTGTCCCTACCGGGCAGGGGTCCTCAATCCCCAGGTTTGTGTTCTGTGGATGTTTCCTGCCTGAAGCTGTCCCCCTGAGGCTCTGACAGTGGGGTGTCGCTCACAGGGTGTGAAGACTGCAGCCAGTACCACGACTCAGAATGTCCCGAGCTGGGCCCAGTGGTCATGGTCAAAGACTCCTTCGTGTTAAGCCGGGCGAGGTGAGTGACCACTGGGAGGTGTTTTCACTTTCCCGGCTGTGGGTGTCGGATGGGGTCATCTCTGTCACCTGTGGGAGCTCGGTGGCCTTTACCTCTGCGCAGGGGAGAAGGGGTGGAAACTCTGAGCCCATGTTCCTGATGTCCATCCCCTTGAGCTGAGCAGTCCTGCCACCAGGATGAGCGTCTCTGATCTAGTCTGCTGTTATGAGGAGCCCTACCCCCAGGCCAGCATGGTGTCCACAAGATAGCTGACCTGCCAAATGGCTGGTGTCCCAAGCAGCAGCAGCAGCCACAATGTCATCTGCTTGTGGGGTTTCTCTGCAGTTCTGACCAGGCCTGTGCTGACACGTGCACTGTGGGGCCGCCCAGTTGGGTTATGGGATCCAGGGGACAATGGGGGACACTGGGTGAGGGCACAGGGAAGGGGCAGAGCCATTGCAGCTTCTAGAAATGATGCCCGCAGGCCAGGGGAGGAGGCCCAGGGCCACACAGCTGCTCTGCCCTCCACATTGCCTGGGGAGGTTGCATCACCTGGCGGCCCAGAGCTGGTGAACTGTGTGAGGCCCACTCCTCTCTGAAGCCACATGAGTTGGCCCTGCTGTGATGTTGCCCATGCTGGTGCCAGGAAGCTGGTTTTCAGTACTGTTGCCTGGAGCCTCTGACTGCCTCCAACCCTGCTTATTTTTTTTCCCTGAGTGTGGCTTATTCTATGCAAAACAGCAAGGTTAATATTTTTGCTGGAAGCGGAGAGCAGATCAGGTCTCATCTTCCTGGAAACCTTCAAGGGTTGCCTGTCGCCCAGGAACTCTCAGTTGAAACCTTTCGTCCCACAGTTGGACCCTCTGTGATAGGTCTCTGGTTGCCCCCCAACCTCTCACTCCCTGATGTGCTCCAGGTATCCTGGTGTCCACCTCTGCTCTGGACAAGTCTTGGGCTCTGCCCAGCCTGGCCCTATGCTGAGGTCCCCACTGTGCCTCCCCTGGGTACCCATCCTTAACATGCTTCTACTTTAGCTAAACAGGCCACATCCTGGGTGCAACTGGCCCCGTGCTGCCTGGCCCAAAACCCTTTCCTGGTCTTCGGGATGCTGTGGCGCCTGTGTCTTTCTCATGCCACTCCCACATGGTTCCTCGTGGTCCTCCCTCACTCCCTCCCCGAATGCGTGCCTTTGTGGATGTTTGCCAGGCCAGGTCTGCTCTCTTGTCCACGGCACTCGGTGCCCTGCATTCTCACAGGAGTTTAAACAAAACCTTTAGCAAAGGACCCCTCCAGCATGTGCTCCGGGCGAATCTTGTTGGGGCTTACGGTCCATCTTGTGTGGCTGTGGCCACGCAATTACAGCTGATACCCATGGCCTGGGAGAGTCACAGCTTCTGCCTCAGTCCTCAAATGGCACGTGTGAGGAAGGCAGCTCTTTACCACCTTGAGGGTTGATTTTGGAAGCTTCCCAGTGGTCAGGGGAAATGATCTTGGAGGTTATCCCAGCTGTCAGTCCCCCGGTGTGAGTGCCGTCCTCTCGTGAGTCTCTGGCTTTGTTCCCTTTCCAGGTCATCCCTTCCTCCGAATTTGGAGATCAGACGGCTAGAAGATGGGGCAGAGGGAGTGTTTGCTGTCACTCAGCTTGTGAAGCGGACGCAGTTCGGTCCGTTCGAGTCCAGGAGGGTTGCTAAATGGGAGAAGGAGTCCGCGTTCCCACTGAAGGTAACGGCGCTTGTGCAGCCCTCCCTGAGGGCATGGAAGTGTTAACTGGAGTTTCAGTGACTGTAAAGGAGACAGGGCTGAACATTGCAGTTCTGCTTAATTTCCAAAAACTAGTTTTCTTTTCTTTTCTTTTTCTTTTTTAATATCACAAGAGCATCAAAGTTAGATTTAATCATTTTCATTTTGCAAAAAAATGAAAAGTATATTTGAAATGTATGCAGGTTTAAACCAAAAATGCTGACCTCAGTTCTCCTGCAACCTGGGTTGATGCCGAAGGTTTTATCAGGCCGTTTTTTGCAGGAATGCATCAGTCTGGTTATTTTCACACCTATGCAGAGCACATGTTTAGGCAATGATGAGACACCAGTTAATAGTACAGAGTTTGGAAGCTCTAGAAAGCACATCAGACTGACAAAGACAGCTGTTCCCCACTTTTACATGAAACTGAGAAAAACAAAGTGGATGTTAATTGCAAGGGAGGCTTAGAGTCCTTAATACGATACCTCTGGGAGCTGCATGAGGCCAGGTGAGGAGGGCTGTTCACCGTTCATCTGCCCGCAGTGTGGTACCAGTGCAGGGCAAGCCTTTCGAGGGGCGTGTGAGATGAGTGAGTGAGGAGGGGTGCAGGTCCACAAAATACCTGCTGACAGAGGGAGCATTTCCCAGAGACCCTTCAAGGGGCCCACTTGTTCTGGACAGGCAGATGAAGTCAGTAAGTTTATTGTTAGGCAGGCCTTTAAAAAACTGAGCTTGGCTTGGCGCCTGTAGCTCAGCGGCTAGGACACCAGCCACATACATGGGGCTAGTGGGTTTGAATCTGGCCTGGGCCTGCCGAACAACAATGAAAACAATAACAAAAAAACAGCAGGTGTGGCGAGTGCCAGTAGTCCCAGCTACTTGGGAGGCTGAGGCAAGAGATTTGCTTAAGCCCAAGAGTTTGAGGTTGCTGTGAGCTGTGATGCCACGGCACTCTATCCAGGGTGACATAGTGAGACTCTGTCTCCAAAAAAAAAAAGCCCCTGAAAAACTGAGCTTAAAAGGCAGATTTCAGCAAAAGGGAAAAAGGAAAGGTGCTGGATTTGTCTATGAAAAAAGAAAGCAAAGAATGAGAAGGCCTGACCTGTGCTCAGAGAGGCAGCTGTGCGTGCTGTCCTCCCGTGGCACATACGTGGTCTGATGTGTGGCCTCTGTGCCCATCTTGATTGTCTTCCAGCTGCTTGATTCTGACATTGTCTGGCACCCTGTGGCTTTCAAGGTGTGCCGGCCTTGAGCACCTGGGTGCCCAGTGCAGGGAGGGTCCCGTCTGCAGAGCACCTTCCATGGCCATGGGAGGTCCTTAGGCACTGGGAGTCCTCTCTGCTCCCTCCCCACACTCCCGAAGGCTCTGTCCGTAGAGGGCCTCTGCAGGAAGAGGTTAGGGGAGGGGAGAGATCTCTTCCTACGGTGGGGAAGTAGGGTACATCAGAAAGTAGGGGACAAAACCCTCCTGTGCTTATGTGGTTGACTTAAACTTCAAAATATTTATGTTTCTCTCCCTGCTCCCTGCCTGCTTTTAGCCCATAAAGCAGTAGTGCTGTTCTGCATGTGAGGGGGCTGCTCCTGGAGCCCGAGGACCTGGGCTAGTATCACCTGCATGCCTCCGGCAGAGCCCAGAGTAGCACTCAGGTGTCTGGGTGCTCACTAGACCACAGGTAGAACTCATGTGTCCCAGTTACTACCGGACACACATTGAGTTCAGGTGCCCCTGTGACACCTGGAGCAGCATTAGAGTGCAGGTGTTCCAAAGCCCCCTGGAGCAGGAGCAGGAGCAGGAGCAGAACTTAGACATCCTCACACCGTAGAAACCAGTGAGAACTCATGATTCTCCTGGGCCGTGAGTAGAACTCAGGTGTGCTGATGACACCCGGGCCGGGTGTAGAGCTTAGGTGTGCTGATGACACCCGGGCCTTGTGCTATGTCTGCTGCTTCCTTTTGCCTGTGACCAGCCTGTCCTGTATAAGCCACATGGTCATTGTACCCTTCCTAACCAGGTCGGGTACCTAAGCAGGTGACCACCTAATCAGGTCAAGTGCAGGAGCCCAACACAGTCTCCAAGCCTCTGACATGCACCAGAGGCTACACATGCACCAAAGGTAATTGGCCCCTCCCCTGGCCCCTCACTGGGCTGGGCTCACCCAGGTGTTCCAGAAGGACGGGCACCCCGTGTGTTTTGACACGTCCAACGAGGATGACTGCAATTGGATGATGCTGGTGCGGCCGGCGGCCGAGCCCGAGCACCAGAACCTGACGGCCTACCAGCATGGCAGCGATGTGTACTTCACCACCTCCAGGGACATCCCCCCCGGCACCGAGCTGCGCGTCTGGTACGCGGCCTTTTATGCCAAGAAAATGGACAAGCCCATGCTGAAGCAGGCCTGCTCCAGTGTCCATGGTATGTGGCAGGGCCCTGTGTCCTATGGCCCCCTGTTCCTCATGCCTGGCCGGAGGGCTGTCGGCCCCTAGGCTGCTTGCACCCCCAACACTAATGAGATGGGTCGTGCCAGGCCAGCTGGCTGGGAGGTGGGGGACAGGGGAGGGGCGGGCTGTCTGTCAGTTAGACATCCAGTCCATAGATGAGCTCAGCCCTGAGCAAGGCCCTTGCTAGGGAGATGACTCCCCCACACTCGGTGCTGCCGTGGCAAATTTGGGTACTCGGATGTAACGTGACCTAAGACTGTCAGGCATCACTTAAGGACAGGTGCATTCTGAGAAACATGTTGTTAGCTGATTTTGTTGTACAGATTCTCAGAGTGTACTCATGTGGACCTGGATGGTGCAGCCCCTGGCTCTCATGGCCTGTGGCTCCCAGGCCACAAACCCATAGGCAGGTGACAGTGCTGAGTACTGTGGGCAACTGTAACATGGTGGTAAGAGTGTGTCTGAACACATCTAAACAGAGGAGAGACACACTAAAATCACAGCATTACAATCTTATGGGCCCGCCATCCTCCACACGTCTCTGTACACCGAGAGGCCACACTGCAGTGTGTGGCTGTGCTGAGATTTTGTCTCGAGACTTCCCAGGCAGCGATGTGCTCTCCTGACCATCTGAGGTTGGAGCAGTATCCTGATGTTCAGCCGAGGAAACAGCACAGAGAGGTCAAGGAACTTGCCCAAGGCCACAGCGCAGCAGGTGGAGGGATCAGGATGGGACCCCTGAGTCTGGCCCCGTGCCATCATTATCCTTGCAGCTGCCCCTCCCAGGTCTGCACGCACGTGTACATATGGGCATGTAAGGAAAGACTGGGGGTCACGTGAGGGATCTGCCCACGTGCTTGTCCTGCTTACCCAAGGTCAGGATGTTGCTTTGTCTGCAGGGAGGGGCTGTTGCACCTGAGTCTCACCTGCACTCTGGTCTCTGTGGTACAGATCCTCTTTACCATAACCTGGGAAGCTACATGAAATTGTTGCTTGACATCTTTTTGACCTGGAAAATGGCTATTTCACATCGCTTACCCTAATACTACTAAGGGGCACAAACATTACTCATCATTGCCCCAGAGATTGTTTGCTCACCAGGAGACTAGACATTGACTCTCCTTCTGACCCTTCAGATGACGTGATTCTCACATGGGAAAGGTTTTATGTATATTATATGTAGAGAACGATTCTGAATGTATTTGGAAGGTTCTAGTCTGTCCTATGATTGTACATTATGATCGAGGTTGTAAAATGCTCCTGGTGTCCCTAATCATAGGGTGGCAGGTACATGAAGCATGAGGGCTGCATAACACAAAGAAAAGTGTCATCTCGCAGTCCTGGAGTCCACAGTCCAAGATCAAGGTTTTGGCAGGGCTGGTTCACCCTGGGAGCCCTGGCCTCTGGGTCATGGCCACACAGTGGTCTTGGAGCCCCTTGGTGTGTAGCTGTGCTTCTCCAGGCTCCACCGCTACCTTCTCCCTGGATCCCTGTGTCCTGTCCTCATAGGACACTGGTCACTGGACTTAGGCCTCCCCAGTCCAGCATGACCTCATCTTAACTTGATGACATCTGCAGACACCCTGTTACAAAGGCTTCAGGAGGATGTGGATCTGGGGGTCACTGCTGAACCTCCCAGTTGGAGGTTGGGGCATCTCACTGGTGTTAGATGATATCTCAAAGTAGTTTTGATTTGCATTTCTCTGATGATTAAGGATGGTGAGCATTTTTTCATATGTCTGTAGTCCATGTGTCTGTCTTCTTCAGAGAAGTTTCTCTTCAAGTCCCTTGCCCACCCTGAGATGGGATCACTTATTCTCTTCTTGCTCATACATTTGAGTTCTTTGTGGATTCTGGTTATTAAACCTTTATCGGAAACATAACCAGCAAATATCTTTTCCCATTCTGAGGGCTGTCTGCTTGCTTTTCTTACTGTATTCTTGGCTGTGCAGAAGCTTTTTAATTTGAGGAGGTCCCAGTAGTGTATTTTTGATGTTACTTCAATTGCCCAGGGGGTCCTCCTCATAAAATATTCACTCAGGCCAATTTCTTCAAGAGTTTTCCCTACACTTTCTTCTAGTGTTTTTATAGTTTCATGTCTTAAATTTAAATCTTTAATCCAGTGAGAGTCTATCTTAGTTAGTGATGACAGGTGTGAGTCCAGTATCAGTCCTCGGCAGGTCACCAGCCAGTTCATCCAGCACCATTTGTTAAATAGGGAATCTTTTCCCCACTCAATGTTTTTAATTGGCTTGTCAAAGATCATATAGTGGTAAGTATCTGGGTTCATCTCTTGGTTCTCTATTCTGTTCCATACATCTACCTCTCTATTTTTGTGCCAATACCATGGCACTATGGATTTATAGTATAATCTGAGGTCTGATAGCGTGATTCCACCTGCTTTGTTTTTATTCCTGAGTAATGTCTTGGCTATTCAAGGTTATTTCTGATTCCATATAAAATGAAGTATTATTTTTTTGAGATCTTTAAAGTATGACAGTGGAACTTTAATAGGGATTGCATTAAAATTATATTTTGCTTTGGGTAGTATAGACATTTTAACAATGTTCATTTTTCCTAGCCAATAGCATGGTATGTTTTTCCATTTGTTAACATTTTCAGCTATTTCTTTTCTTAGAGTTTCATAGTTCTCTTTATAGAGATCTTTCATATTCTTTATTAGGTAAACTCCCAAATATTTCATCTTATTTGGCACTTCTGTGAATGGAATAGAGTTCTTGACTATTTTTTCAGCTTGACTGTTGTTGGTATATATAAAGACTACTGACTTATGGGTGTTGATTTTGTAACCTGAGACACTGCTGTATTTCTTGATCACTTCTAAGAGTTTTGTTGTAGAGTCCCTGGTATTTTCCAGGTATATAATCATGTCATCTGAGAAGAGGGAAAGTTTGATCTCTTCTGATCCTACATGAATACCCTTGATTGCCTTTTCTTCCCTAATTGCAATGGCTAAAACTTCCATTACAATATTAAAGAGCAATGGAGACAATGGGCAACCTTGCCTCATTCCTGATCTGAGTGAAAATGATTTCAATTTAATTCCATTCAATAGGATATTGGCTGTGGGTTTGCTATAGATGGCCTCTATCAATTTGAGAAAAGTCCCTTCTATGCCAATTCTCTTAAGTGTTCTAATCATGAATGGATGTTGGATATTATCAAAAGCTTTTTCTGCATCAATTGAGAGGATCATATGGTCTTTGTTTTTAATTTGTTTATGTGGTGAATTACGTTTATAGATTTACGTATGTTGAACCAGCGTTGAGATCCTGGGATAAAACCCACTTGGTCGTGGTGTATAATTTGTTTGATGTGTTGTTGGATTCTGTTTGTTAGGATCTTGTTGAATATTTTCGCATCAATATTCATTAGTGATATTGGTCTATAATTTTCTTTTCTTGTTGGGTCTTTTCCTGGTTTGGGGATCAAGGTGATGTTTGTTTCATAGAATGTGTTGGGTAGTATTCTGTCTTTTTCTATATTTTGGAAAAGGTTAAGTACTATAGGTGTTAGCTCTTCTTTAAAAGTTTGGTGGAATTCTGATGTGAAGCCATCTGGTCTCAGGCTTTTCTTCTTAGGGAGATTTTGTATAGTTGATGCTATTTTAGAACTTGATATAGGCCTGTTCAACATTTCTACTTGGTTCTGACTAAGTCTTGGAAGGTGGCGTACTTCCAAGTATTGGTCGATTTCCTTCAGATTTTCATATTTCTGGGAATAAAGTTTCTTGTAATATTCATTAAGGA